ATATATATATATATATATATACATTAGCTTCCAAACTATTGCCGAGTGATAGTCGACAAAAATGAATAGCGAAATACATACGCGTAATATTGCAAATATGGCGCAGTTGTGATCGAAGTTTTATGTTTCAGTGGATCTAACCAATGGACAGCTCACCCCAAACAACAACACGCCCCTACTTACACAAGCACTTTCTGGTACGTTTTAAAAGTCTTTCTTCTTCTCGGCTGTGCGAATGTAATGCGCTTTCTCGACTTGCTTCGTCGCGTTGCGATCGATTCGCCCAGAAATGCAAACAATTTCGGCTATGATGGCTTTTTCGTTAACTAGTCACGCGAGATTGCAAGCAATAAAAATTGTGCGCAATATCTTTGAGAGAATACTCGCGATGGCTTGAACGGAATATTGCGGAATAAAACACTAAATGCAATATTATGTTCGAATCAATCATTGCTTCTGCCATCTCATTTTAATATTGTCTATTTTGCAGCAATATTTTCTTAAACTGAATTCTGCTTACAGATACGAAGACGGATAATTTTGCGAAACATTATACCTTAATGTTTTCAATTTTATCATTTCATGGATTGCTTAATAATTGGTTTTCAAGAATCAATCTCCATTTAGTGAAACGATAACTATCGTAGAAAAATTTTCATCGGTTAATATCTGTAATTTCAAAAGACGATTATGATTCGTATACGCGAATAACGGAAAGCATGGCTACTTTGTTAAGCATGATTATTCTGCATGACTGTTATATATAGAATTATTTTATCACTAAGCCTCGACTAAATAATCAACAGAAATTGACGTGGAAAATCAATAGCGTTAATTGCGTTCGTGATATTATCTTTGGGATAAAGTAAATAGGACTGTACCGCTTATTTTGCCAAATAAATGAAGAGACAAATAATTTTTCAGTTTAGCACCTTGTTTCTTGATGTCTTTCTTTACCTCAATACAAAGTGACGTCTTTTCGTGAAAAAAACATAAATCCTAACGAATACCGTTTTTACTTTTCATCTCTCAATTATCACGTAATCATTTCCTGCTGAATCACCGAAAAGAAAGACGGAAAGACGCGAGAAAAACGAAAGGAAGAAAAACGAGGGACAGACGCGTTTCCGAAAAGAAGTGTTGCACATGCGAAGGCGCCGAGATACCGGCAGCGAAATACGCCTCTGTTCTTCTATATATATATATTATTTTTTTTTTTTCGTACTCCCCCCATCTAGAATCTGCCCCCGATCTGCCCGCCGTCGCACCGTCGTGCCGTCCGCAATCTCCTCTCAAATAAATCAAACTTTTGAATCGCGCTCGTCCCTCCTCCAGCCCCCACACCGATCTCCACACGCCTGCCTCTCGCCATGGCACCGGCACAAAACTTTGTAACCGGCCGCCATTGTCAAGAGTTTAAAAGCTGAATGGGTTTTTAGATTGTACGCCGGGGCGCTTTCGGTTTCCCGTGGCCCCGTCGCCATCCCTCTTTCCCTCTTGCACCCGTCGAGAGAGTTTCAAATTCTTCGCGTACCGCCCGCTTACGATCTCTCCTCTCCTCCCCGCGCGCTCATTCCTTTCCGCCGTTTCTTCCTCTTCTTCTTCTCTTCGCTTTGTTCTCGTCGTCTTTTTCCTCCTCTGCTTTTGTGACCGCCGTTAATCCGAAAGTACGTACCGTATGACATTTACGCGAGCTCTTGCGCGCAAACAACACGAGCCCGATACACGGAATCGCTCGAGTCAGATGCATTAATCTCCGCTGCTTCTTATTGGCTATCTGTCAGAGTTTTTACGAGTGCTAAAGTTTCAGAATGCGGACGACACGCCGAGACATTGTTTTCCCGTGTGCGATACAGCTTTGAGAGTAACGTAGACTAGTTTCGCTCCTTGGTATTTTTGTATGTATGGAAACGAAGAGCAGTTATTAGTAGAGACGTTTCGAACATTCTATAAACATAGTAATCGCATTAGTACTTAATCCTTGCTGTTGTGCATTATGTGTATACTAAATATCAATGTGTTAGTACCCTGCAAAAAAGAATTTGCAAGAATAACATATTTCTCGTGATATCTCTTATTGAAAGTACAAAATATTTCAATATTCCAGATGTAAAAGAGAGAGAAATACATAGTAAAAAATTAGAAATACCATTCAAAAATTTAGATTATTAAAAAAAAAACATGTCAGTGTTTATTTAATGAAAAAAATGACTTTTCGAGTTTAATATTACTTTTAATAATAATTATAATTTTTTACTAACAATACAATTTAGTAAAAAAAAGACAATTATTTTTATTAAATTTTTTACTTTATTAAATTTTTCATGAGATGGAAAATTATTTTTAAATTTTCTTAATTTCGCTATAGTTGGAAGAATAAAATAACTGCCGAGTATTATTTGAATTTCGTTTTGCTATTTGAAATAACTTATTATTTAGATTCATAACACATCAAATTTTTGTTAACACATTCAATACGAATATCACAAGAAAATATACTTAATTTCTAAAGGTATTGGCACAAATTTAATTGATTTGTCTTTCATTGCACCAGATTTTGTAATTACCATAATTGTTCCCTTTTTATTCTTCCCTTGTATTCTCACGCGTGATTTTTACTTTGAACGCGAAATGGGGTAAGTTTAGTTTTCCTCGTCTTTGGTTTTTCTAATCAAACCAAATCTGTCAATTTTTGCTCCGACTTCTTAATAGCACGAAAGAAAATCAATTCTCGTGCAGACCAAACGTTAGAACAGTGAACGTAGTCGAAAGCCTGTTGTATCTCGTAACTTTTCAAGTTGATCGCCATCACTGCCTCGTGCGATTGCGTTGCTTGTCCCAGTGACGTGTTGTACAATGTCATACATATATATGTGCAAGGCGCTTTTTTTATTGTCTCTATGGTCGTATGTAAAGGCTGCCTTGCCATGCGCTTCATGAGTGTCTTCTTTTATTCCTTTCTTTTTCTTCTCCAATGAAATCACGAGAAGATATTTGTCAAATTGACTCTATCCATTTCCTTGTATTCAACTTATATTGTGCGTAAACATGATACATACTCATTGATGTAATGGCATTTGCGCGATTATTTAAACGGGAGGCACATGCACAGTCCTCGAAGTAAAAATGTAGACCAGAGATTATCGTCGTTCATTTGTGCACGAATATGCGTGAGCTCGTTACAACAAACATCACACTGTATAGTATATGTATATGAGTTAAAGAACCTTATCTCTAATGAGATTTAACCCGCTAGAGCGTATCGTTATACAACTGAAATGAGTTTGATATTAGTAAGCGGAAAGAGGCGAAAAAGCTAAAAACTAAGGGCAAACGCCAACGGAGAGAGAGCAACGTGCCTCAAGGTACTTGCATGGAAGATTCCTAAAAAGGATAAGGCATGCAACGCTCGTATCGCTATCACGGGCAGAATGAAACAATCAGAATATTCACGTCTCATAATTGTCACTCAGATATTTAATTGTTATAAGATGTTATATACGCTACAATTACAAAATAAAAAATTAATGGCGCGGCTTAATAATCATTTAATAGTTAAATAAAAGATGACATTTCTTTAGATTCTCAATTATTCTGGCACAGTCAAAGCTGAACATTTATATAGATTTACTTTCTAAGGATAATTATTTTCCTTTATAAAAAAAATAATGACATAATTATACATAACAGTATAATTAGATTACAGTGATTACGCCATTCAAATGGGCCACCGTAATTGAGAATTTTGAAAATAATTCTTGTGTATTTTTCAAGTCTGAATTTGAAAGTATATTTTATAAATATCTTTATGCTTTACGCGTCTCGCGGAAGACGAGGGCGAGCTTCGCCGAAGCTCGTCCTCGTCTTGTCGACGACCTCTGCTCGATCGGGATAAGAAGGTGAACATTGACGCGGGTTCGTTGCAGTGATGAACAACTACCAGGCGGCCGCAGCGCAGGCCGGATTCCCGCCGGCGTCGCCGCACGCGGCCGGCGGCCACGGTGGGCCGCAGGGCCGGTCTTTCCCGGCGGCCAATTCACCGGGCCCGATTGACATGTACAGCTCGAGCGCCGCCGCCGCAGCAGCAGCCGCAGCCGCGGATTCCGCAGTCGCAAGCTACGTCCAGGCCGCAGCTAGCCCGCAGCCCCCCACGACCGCGTTCCCCGCGATCGCCGTATCCCGTGCCCCGCTCAACTACAGTCCCGTAAGTCCACTTAATGCTCCCCCTTTGTTCACCGAATCGGGCCCCTCCCGAGAGAGTTGGAATGTAAGGATAAAGAGCAAGATCGTGAAAATCTGACACTTCTGCATCTCATGACCAGCATACGAGATTTATCTAATCAATTTATTTATTCCATTCATTGATGTGGTTTGCTGCATAATTTTTATGTAGCATCGAAAATAAAATTATTTTCAATAAGTTTGATGGATAAAATTTTGTGAATTAAACAGAATTTCGTAATTGACAATAAATATAAAATAAAATTGGAAGAGATTGTACAAAATAGCAGCCACATTTTAAACTAGAAATAATTATGAAAGAATTAATCAGAAAAAGCTTTTACGTCGCATTTTAATTATAAATGCAGAAAAGTCTGCTAAAGTATTCTTGCTAAATATATAAACATCAATGTTTCTCTAACAACTGTTTACGGCTGGTAAAACAAATTATCCAAATAAATAACGATGGAAAAATGTATATTCACATTTTTATATATAAAAATTTATATCGCACGCAAGAATTTGAAATGAATTTACGTTGACGTAATAAAACAAAATTAAAGAATTATTTGACCATCAATCAGGCTCTTTATCGTTTCATTCCATATTACCATACAATTTCATCAGCTTTATGCATTTATGATCAGCAAATGTAAATACAATACCTTCTTGCGAACATATATTATATTTAATACAATTGATTATCAATCTCACAAAAAAATTGCTTCTATATATGTCTATTATTACTGTACACTTTATACATTCTATATCATAATTCTATACTTTATGATATTCATCTCTGGTCCGTCAGGTATAGTATGGCAATTATTACATTGGCTTGTTTTCGAAGATAAACTTAATATCGTTTATGTAGGATTTCTTTCTGATTTATTCTCTGCAATATCAATACATTTAATATACCGAAGACTTCCCACGTAACATCATTTTATATATATTATTCTTCGCATTTCTGTCACTTATTATTATCTTTATATTGTACAATTTCGAGAAACATAGCACAAAAGAAGGATTCTACAACCTCAAAGGCCAAGTACCGCAATTGCACGCTGCAATCTTAGATATGCAGGCAAACATAAGGGTTTCTTTGCGCTCACTATTATTAGTAATCATTATTTTTATGGGAAGGTTGATCAAACCGATATATTGTATTGTTCCAGGGTCCTCTAATACCAGCGGCGTTCACTAATGGCTACCATTGAGCCTTGTTAAGACCTATTAACAGGTATATATGCCGTCAATAATATTTCATCAGATGGTACTTATATTTTATATCAAAATGAATTTATTAAAAACACTTTACAATACGAAACAATTAGATCTTCTTTTCATCTTATAATTTTTAATATAGTATTATCCATGTCGCATACAAAATATATAATTTGAAACAGAATATCAATACATGAAACAAACCTCATTTTTTTAACTATTTAACTATATTTAAAAAAAACACAAGTAATCTTTAATCTTTATTTATATTTAAATGATACCAATAAGACTTGAACATGTCTTTAAGAGATTTCATATCCGTCTTTATTTTGGCCTATATGAATTGATTTAGAAAAATTCTTATAAAATTATTTTTTCCAAGATACACGTCTAATTTATTGTCTTATTTCTTTCTTCGTTAGGATGGACGAGACGGCAGAACGCAGCACGGTCGCCTGATAATAAGCAACATGGATGATTTGAGGCAGCTAAGTATAGTGGACAGTCTCTGGACGAAAAAAACCACGTACACACCTACTGTATAGATTCAAAGATATAAATAAGATCAAAAGTTGCAACGCATTAAAAAAAAATGGATAATGTCAAATAGAAGACAAATATCAAGTAAGATCCAATCAATGCAACTTCAAAATCCGGATTGTAAATAACCGGATGTAATATTACGCGAATATGTAATAATGCATTAAGAAAGAATTTAGAACATTAGTCGAATCCAGTTGGATACAATTATAGATAGAGAGAAGAAAATTAATTCTGTTGATGAGCAAGAGAAAGAAACTGATGTAATGGAGAAGACGTCCAGAGAAGGTCAGAGGAAAAAGATGAGAAAAACGACAGAAAGATCGACCGTCAGACGGAAACAGGAAGAGATAACAACGCGCTGCAATAGGCTAGTTATGGCCGAAACTGCGTATTAACGCCAGCCCGTTCTCCGACATTAATAAAAGAAATAATAATATAATAATAATAAATTAAATTAATATTATTAATTGCTAAATATTTAAGCGGTTAAGTCTAGAATATATATAAATAGTATATATATATATAAAGATATAAATATATATATACACACATATATATATATATATATATATAAATAATTGATAATTATTATAGATAACGTATGACCTCTAATATTTAAGACAGTTAAAGAGACGGAAGAGATACCAACTCTCACGAATATTATAACTATTAATTATTACAATGATTACTATGGCGATTGCAATTATTGACGAGCGCCATGCACCGCGCGTGCCCGCGTATATTATATATAAATGATAGGCACATACGCGCGTTCACACCTGGGAAAGACCCTTTGTTTCTGGGCTTTCAAGTTTTGATCGTATGCGTGGGAGGGATTGAAGAGTTTAATGGCGGCCGAGAGAGGAACGATGACGCGGAGAAGAGAGAAAAAAGAAGAGGGATAAAGGCTGATGAAATAGTAGAGTGGATAAATCAAGCGATCCTTTTTGCTGCCCTTTCTCTACGCCTACACATGCAGATTCAAGCTCCTTTTTCTCTCCCAATGTGCCTTTTCGCTGGCTAAATGGCGGAACGGTGCTTTTCTCCTGTCCTGTCGCAGTCCTACTTTCCCGGGTGCGCAACGAAATAATGCGGAAAGATGTAACGGCGGGCAAGCAAGAGAGTTACACATATAGGCGTGTTACATACTTGGATGTCACGCTGTTAGCATTATTTGCGGAAAGGGGGAAGACACGCAAGAGAGGTGGCGTCGAATGTCGGACTGACGAGGCAAGTTCAAAACGATGAGAAGCGCAACATCGAAAGACTTCCAAAAAGAGAGAACAGTAATAGATGATATTGTTAGAATCCACACAGAATAGCGGAAGTTCTTCAGCTGCTCTTTGTCATCAAATCCGCCATTTATATCCAAATGTGACTGTTCAATGTACGTTCAATGTACGTTCATAATAAGAATTATAAATAAATTTGTGTAAATTTGTGATCATAAACTTCAAAAGAGTATTATATTTCAATGCAATATTTCATGGCAATATGATATGTTTTGCGATAATCGAAAGAGCTTCGAAAAATATGTCATTAAATTTCTTTATTGTATTATATTAGATATAATTAAACTGCATTATATGAAATCACTCAACGCAGCGGTGATATCGTTGCATTTAAAACAAAAGAAGATGAGGATATAAATGGCGTTGATTTATTCTGTAATTCTGATTGACACCGAACGTTCACTTCAAAGTTCCACTTGGAGCTTCCGGAGGCGCCGGACTATGACTGTTATGACTCTAATCGGCCGCTGTATAGCTTTAAAAACCGATT